TGATCACCAGCCGGAAGGGCCTTGGTGAACACATCAGCCGTATTCGCCGGGTGGGCACGTGGGCGACACGAAGCTGACCACGCTGCTTCAACTCTCGAGCAAGGAAGTAACGCAGAGCAATGTGCTTCGTTCTGTGCTCCAGTCTGTGGTCCTGACACAAGGCAATGGCAGCCTTGTTGTCGACGTACAGAACTGGGGGAGAACGAGGCCTCTCTCCCAAATCGGTCAGCAGGTAGGTGAGCCAGCGTAACTCCTGTGCAGCCATGGCTGTGGCGTAGATCTCAGCCTAACAACTGGAGCTGAGAACAGAAGACGAGTGGGTAGACCGCCAAGAAACAGAGCCAGAGCCAAGGCTGAACGTGTAACCCTGTGACGACCGCTGCGTAGCTAGGTCGTCAGCCCAAGAAGTGTCTGAGTGCCCAGTGAGGAAAACTGAGCTCCGCCCTCCAAGCATGAGCCCCATGCCTGATGTACGGTACAAGTAGCGCAGTATCTTCTTCGCAGCATCGAAGTGCACCTTTCGGTGCCTACCAGGAGCCACGTAGCGTGCCAGAAGGCCAAGAGGGTATGCAAGGTCAGGACGAGTGCAGGTCATCAGATACATGGAGGCAGCCCACTAGCTCTGGGTACGGACCACTCGGCTCTACGGACTCGTCCGAAGGTGGAGCTGAGAGCGAGTGACGTGTAGCCAGGGGAGTGGACTGTGGCGAGGACCAAGCGAAGCAGAAGCGCTGAAGGACCTGCCGCATCATGTGTGACTGAGTCAGCGTGATGGTGCGCCGTGCTCTGTCCCGGGTGATCTGCAGGCCAAGGTAGCTGCGCAGCTCGCCCAGGTCTGTGCACGTGTGTCTCTTCTGCAGCTCTGACTTCACAAGGGCGAGAGCCTCAGTTTCAGCAGTGGCAAAGACCAAGTCGTCGACGTACACGAGGATCTAGAACGGCGGCAACGAAGTGTCGGTGCGCAGAAACAGCGACGGGTCAGCAGTGGAAGGTGCAAACCCAAGAGCCGCAAGTGTCGTCCTCAGTGTGTCGTGCCACTCACGAGGCGCTTGACGGAGACCGTAGACTTGCCGCCGGAGACTCCACTGGGTAACAGGAGGGAACGACCCAGTGAAGCCAGGTGGGCGGCGCAGCCAGATCTCCTCGTGCAGACTGCCCTGTAAGAACGTTGTGCTGAAGTCCAGAGAGTGAAGCTCGTAGTCACGCTGAGCGGCAACGTGCAGCAGCACCCGAAGAGTGGTAATCTTCGGGGTGGGGGAGAAAGTCTGGAAAAGGTCAACTCCCTGTCGCTGACTGAAGCCTCGTGTAACGTAACGAGTCTTGAAGACATGCGGAGAACCCGGCGGCCGCTTCACCCTGAAAATCCACATGCCATCGACTACGTTCGCCCCAGGAGGGGGAACTGCGTCGACGTAAGTGCCTGTGGACTTCCAGGATGCCATCTCTGCGTCCATGGCTGTCTGCCACTGAGAGCAGTACTCACCCGCGATCGCCTCAGCGTAAGAGTGCGGGGGCGGGATGTCTGGAGCATCCGGGTCTCCCTTAGGGGCAAGCAGCATGGCCACAAGATGAGGCGTATCGGCTGCAAGACACTCAAAGTCCTCCTGCCTGTCCTCAAGGACGTCCGTGCCAAGAGCACACTCACCCCCGACGGACGGAGGACAGATAGACTCAGCAACAAGACTAGCAGCGAAGTCTAGACGACAGGCAGCAACAAAGTCAACAAGCTCAGAGACTAAGGCGGACGCAGCAGCAGACTCAAACGACGGGTCAGTGACAACAGTGGCTAGCAGACGCGTGACAGTGGGGTGAGCAGTACGAACCAGGTCAGACTCAGGGTCCTGAACGTCAGGCAGAGAAGACGCAGGAGGAGACGGCAGGGGAACACGCTGTGGAACAAAGGAAGGACGAAGTGTCATAGCGTGCGTTCCAGGGACAGGAGGCGGACGCGGACGAGGAACACGACTACCAGTGCGACGCGCGCGAGCAGGCGATGCAAGACAAGACGCAGGCTCACGACGCTCTGTAAGCGAGTCTTTCTGCTCAGTGTAAGGAGAAGGAGCAGGCAGTGGTGCGCCGGGCTATAACGGGAGGCCAGTAGAAGACGGGAGGCTAAGAACCTAGCGAAGCACGGAGTCAGGCGGTGGCAGAGACGACGGTGATGGCGGAGCGAAAAAACAGTCGCGTCGGTGCAGTGCCACCAGTACCAATAGCTCCAGCGCCTCCAGCAGCTCCAGAACCTCCAGCTCCAGGGCCTCCAACAGCAGCACCTCCAGCTCCAGTGACTCCAGCAGCAGCACCTCCAGCTCCAGCTCCTCCAGCAGCTCCAGAACCTCCAGCTCCAGCGCCACTAGTAGCAGCACCCCCAGAACCGGCACCTCCATCCAGGCCCCACGTTTTGAGAGTAAATTACTCAGTTTCTATGAAAATCATAGTCATTTTTGAAAGTAACTCTGTACCCGCTGGGTATTTTTTTGGGACTTCAGATTTCTCTGATTTGTCAGAGTTGTGTTGTAGGTTACTCTGAGGCCTCTGGGGTTTTTTTTCAGGGACCGAATTTACTCTGTATAGAGAATACATGCCCCCTAGCCGAAACCCACCCACCCCCCTGCGGTTTTTCGCCGAATCGTTGAGATCATTCTCCTGATTTCGGTCGTGTGTTGGCGGCAATATGAGCGTTGATTGGCTACTGTAGTTTGACAACTTCTCAACCAGCGCACATGTCAGCCACTCCCCTCCCTTCTCCTTGAGTCAGATTATCGGTGCCAACACCTCACTTGGAAACAGCGCACTGAGTGGGGAAACGTGGGCGACGCGGAAATGAAACATAGTGCAAGTACAAAAGGCGTAACAAAAACCTATTAAGGTCATACACCAAACTTAACCAACATCAGAGTAGAGAAAAATATTTCTCTGACGTGCCTGGGTTTTCTTATGAAAGTATAGGGTTACTCTGACAAATCAGAGTAAGGCGCATGAACAACCCTAGATTTCAGAGTTGGGGAAAAAACTACTCTGGAAATCAGAGTACCTAAAATCCAAAAGTAGGCCCTGCCTCCATCCCCAGGGTCCCCAACTCCACAGTCGACAGTACCAGCTCTATGGCCTCCAGCAGCAGCACCCCCAGAACCGGCACCTCTAGCTCCAGGGTCTCCAACGCAAGGGTCGACAGCACCAGCTCCAGGGCCTCCAGCCCCAGTACCGCCAGCAGCAGCACCCCCAGAGCCGACACCTCCAGCTCCAGGAGCAGTACTAGTCCCGGCAGCTCCAGTACCTCCAGTACGAGCACCTCCAGGACCAGAGACACCAACACTCCCAGCGCCTCCACGACAAGCAGCTCCAGCAGCACGACTCCTCAGGCGGGTACGCGACGCAAGCCACTCTCGTGCCTGCTGTGGTGAGACAGGCCCGCGTCGTGAAACGAGACCCAGAGGAACGCCAGCAGACTCAGCACCCCCCGACCCAGCACCCTCCGGCTCAGCACCCCCAGGCTCCGCACCCCCCAGCACCTCATGGACGGGCTCAGCACCCCCAGACTCCGCAGCCGCAGGCTCAGCACCCCCAGGAGTAGTATCAGTCCCGGCAGCTCCAGTACCTCCAGTACGAGCACTTCCAGGACCAGAGACACCAGCACTCCCAGCGCCTCCACGACAAGCAGCTCCAGCAGCACGACTCCTCAGGTGGGTACGCGACGCAAGCCACTCTCGTGCCTGCTGTAACGCGGGCACAGAAGCTGCACTGGTGCTAGGAGCTTACAGAACTAGTAATAACTGTAACCCTCATTTACAAGCGTTGTTGAGTTACAATATTATGTTCCATTCTGTAGCAGGAACCATACAAATGGCGCATATAGTTTGATTTATCTTCTGTACAAAACATGCACATTTAGTTTAGGGTACATGCACTTTATCTACCCAGGTCATGGAGCCACGAGGTAGACATTCTGTGAAATCACTGACTAACTCTGTGAAAGGTGCATGCATTTTTCCATCAGAATTGTACATGATATAAAAGCTACACTTCTAAATGAATATTCATGACAGAAGCCTATCCTAAAAATGAATGGAGATGTGCAAGGCAATCGTCTGCTTAACGATGGGTTGACCATGCCATGCCAAGTTATAGGGTGCGAAGCTCTACTCTCACTCAACCCCAACTCACTCCAATCCCACACAGTTGTGTCAGTGCACGCACACATCTGCACACAAAAGAGAGCAGGCTCCAATGTTCCTGCTGCCGATGCTGCACCCATAACCCATACCCAGCACAAGCAGCAGCAGCCACGGGAGAAACAGACTGCAAACGTAGAAGCGGACGAAGCAGCAGCAACAGCAACTGCAGCAGCATCAGCAGCAGAGGCAGCAACACCAACCCCCAACACCAGCGCGCAACACCAACACACCAGAATCAGCGCTAGCACCAGCACCAGCCGTGTTCCCTCCCAGCCCACCGATCCACCCCAGCTTCCACTGTATCGTGAGAACCCCACCAGTGCATCAGCAAACCCAACCCTCCACAGGCAACCCCATAGCTGCTGCCTGCAGCAGTGGGCGTGCTGCCCAATAATCAACCAGTGCCTTCACCGTTTTTATACCCACCACAATGCACGGGCCTACAGCGAGGCCCATGCAATCGTCTAATCTTCCCCCCAGTCACCCCTCCGCCACAACCTCCCTTCCCACACCCACCTGTCCCACCTGCGGCTCAGGGCAACCCTACAACCCAAAGCCCCACATTGCTCTAGTGCCCTCAGCTTTCACTCCTCACGGCCCGCCAGCAGCAGCCGAATGCCTAAGCTATCCAGACTATACTACGAACCAAGGAGTAAGGCCAGAGGCATGCCGCTTCTGACTGCTTGCTTCCCTGTTCCCACTGCTGCGCTCGCATCAGCCTGGCCAAATCGCCACCGTGCAGCGGAGAGCTATTCAACCTGGACGGGCCCCTCAGACGCCGCGACTGGTCCACCTTCAGGGGCCCTTTAGAAGCAGCAGAAGCAGCACCTAGTCGACCTTTAGGTGCAGCTTGAGGAAATCGTATACCCAGTAGCTCAATGCCGCGGATGGCAGCACCTGCAGGGACGGGGAGGGAAGGAGAGGGAAGGACGGTAGATTGGAGGTTGGTGAGACTGAAGAAATACACGAATTATAGGACAATGCTAGAAGACAACAGAAACTATGACAAGTGAAACGTTGGATTGGTGTGTAAAAAGGAACCTGAAGGGGGGAGCTGGTCCTGTTTAATCATGCAGGGTAGAGAATTCCTTGACAGCAATATCACGTTCTCAGCAAGATCGGACCAAATAAAAGAAGGGGACTTTCTTCCCTGAGCGTTGCTGGATCCTTTCTCGGCTCAACCATGAGAGTCTCTCTTTAAACTCTCACGCTCTCGAGGGTGGGCACAACGAGGGACAATGTGATTGAATCGGGGGACGGGTGAGGTTGAATCAAGAAATAGGATCTTACGTAATGTTGTTTGCGTCAGAGACTCAGAAATTCAACCTATTTTGAAAAACGAAATTGTAGTTACCTCTTCGAAAATTCTATCTGGTTTTCCTGCAAACCTGATTCCCTCCTCCAGCTTGTACGATCTCACACTTCTATGATCACAGACATAAATAACACCCCTCTTCCAGACTTCCCCATACCCTGCTAGTTCGATTTTCTATTTAGTGACAACCCTGATTGTTACAAAAGCTTACCTGAAGGAGGCCTGGGACCATTCCAGCGTAGAGCGCCGGGAAGCCTTTCCAGTCGACTCAAAAGTCACCTCAAGCTAGTGACAGTCCTAATCGTTACAAGAACATACCTGAAGCAGGCCGGGAACCATTCCAGCGTAGAGCGCCGGGAAGCCTCCTCTCTGCGCCACCTCTTTCAGCACCCGCATCGCTCCCGCCTGCCTCCCCGCCACCGCTACGGACCCCTCAATACCGCTCATCTGCATCTGCCGCCGAACCACCTCCAGAGGATAGGTAGCGAACTCCGAAACCACCCCTGCGATCGCCCCGTACAGCAGTGTCCGCATCGGACCCAGCTCCTTCCGAAACTCCGCTGCTTCTACCGCGTCCGTCTCTACCGCGGATACATCTGTCGCTTGATTTGAAGATCCGTCGTCTCTGGTCACAGAAGAAAGACCAGCTGAAAGGGAGGCGGATTGAGAGGTAGAGGGGGCTCCAGGCAGGGCGAGTTTCCCGGAAGGCAGGAAGGAGATCTTGTCTATCACTGGAAGCTTCGGCTTATCCTGGGACTGCAGATGCGTAGTTTTCATAAAATCGTAAGCGGCGTAGAAAATCGCACAGGATGGAGCGATACTGTAGACCGCCGGCCAGATGCCTCGATATAAGCCGAAGAAACCCTGCGTTCGGATCATCTCGCTTAGACAGCCGGCCAGATCGGTGCACGCGATGCCGCCGCGGGCGATCATCCTCGTCCGCACCTTAAGGAACCAGATCAGGGAAAAAAAGGATGTCAGTGTTTGTTACTTTAGCTTGAAAACAGGGAGCAGCTGAGCGGGTATAGGGAGGGTACGGCAGCCATGCGGGGAGTTTCAGGGGTTCATGCTGCGGGAATTGATGAGTATTGAAAAATGCAACCAAATAGGGGATCTGGCAGAGAACCGTGTAATACACTATGTATCTCGCGAGAAACATTGCTGAACCTGCTAGTACCGGATGCGTTCCGTATCCGGCGGGAATCAAATCCTAAACCTTAAAACCGATGCTTACCGTATCCAGCGGGAAGCAGGCGAAGGTGGCAATGACGCCGGCGACGGCTCCGGCCGATAGCCGCTCGACGTTGTTAACGTCCGTCTTCTTTGACAGATCCAGGATCTTTTGACGGAAAATGTCGTACATGACGAAATTGATCGTCTTGAACGGCACGATGCGCAGCAGATTAACGCCGTTGCCCCTCCAGAACCCCATCATGCCCTCGCGCGCGAATATCCGCCGGGTTAGCTCCGGCACGTGCGCTTGAGCGCCGCACACCATGTACTCTAGCTTCAGACGCTCCAAGGGAGCCACCGCAGATCTGGACGGAGGAGAGAAGGGGGAAAACGGGTATGGATGCGTTAGGGTCGATTCAATATCGGCACGTGCGCTTGATCGCCGCACACCATGTACTCTAGCTTCAGACGCTCCAGCGGAGCCACCGCAGATCTGGACGGAGGAGAGAAGGGTGGGGGGGGGGGGGAGGAATGGTTTGGATGCGCTATGAGTCTACTAAAGGGACGATAACGGATCTGGCCGGAGGACGACAGAGAAAAAGAGGACGGAGGTTCACGGGTAGAAATGCATCGGACAAAAGAAAACTGAGAGACCGACACGGCAATTACCGCGTGATCGCTGCTGATATCTGCTGCCGAAGCAGCGCAAATCGGAGGACCACGGATCGACGGAATACATATCCGTGGCAAATCTGCCGGCAAACATGAGACGGAATCAACCACAGGTGTCTGAGTTCCTCTCACCTTGCGACGACGGAGGCCGTGGCTCCGGCGAAGATGTGTTTGACGGTCTTCAACCCGCCGTCTTCTTGCAGGCGGCTCCACATCCCCGCGATGTTCTCCCGGCATTCCTTCTGCGCGTTCCCCCACGCCTCTCCCGCTCGTTGCGCAACCGCCTGGCTCTGCGCCGCGACCCAATTCCGCGCCTTCCGCAACTCAACCTCCGGCTTCCATCTTCTGTTCGCAGTCTGTTGGATCTTCTTCTTCTCAGTCGTTTCCCCGACGGCTGGTCGTGTAACCGGCCATCTGTCAATTCTGACGTCGGATCTGGGCCGAGGTGGATCCAGCGGGACGACATCCATGCCCCAGCCGTCGACGACGTCATCTAGAGGAAGAGGCGTGCGGAGCGGCATCGCCGCCGAGAAGCTCGCGTACTGCTTCCGCGCGTGAGGGGGAGTGACGCACGGCATGCGGAGAGAGTGGGGGTAGGTGCGTTGAAGATGATGAAATTCCTAAAACGCGTCGCCGAATCTCGAGATGAGGCTGGTCGGACGAACGATCGTAACAGATTTATTATTCTCGAAATGCAGGAACGTTTTTATTTCTTAGGACCGATTTGATAGAACGCAGTTGTCAAACGAGAGCAGGGAGTTGGTCCAACCCATCGTCAATGGACCTTGTCAAATCGGAGATCACTTGGTGACCCAGGGAATCAAGCAGAAGCACGATCCAAAAACGGAAATAAGGGATAACAACACGAGGGTAGCAAGCACGTCAGTCGCACGCAACGGCTTCTGAACGAGAAACGAGATGCTGGAAGGACTTCAGTAGAATGAGTGAAGTGAAAGATGGCGCAGTTGTGATTGAATTGACGCGAAAGAGTGCAGGAGAGATCTTTGAATCGCAGAATGGTAATGTGGTGGAAGGCAGCGATAGTTGTGGTGCGGTTGTGGTGTGTGTGTGGGGGCTGGTGGCGGGGCTGTGGTGGTCAGACTTGTGTGGAGGGGCAGACCAGCAGTCAGGGGAGGGGAGGGGAGGAGAATCATGCTGGTCTGATTGGAAGGAATGACTTCAAAATCGGTGGGGTACGTCGGTGGTAGTGGTGGTGTGCGACAGTGGCGAAACGAGGCATGTGCGAAGACGAAGGGTGCCCCGGAACGAGCGAGTCAGATGCGACACTGTAGGGGGTACGGACGAACCTTTGCGACACATGACGCTGTCTCGATGTTACCGACAATGTACGCTTCGTGCACGAGGACCCGTGAGATCGAGTATCTTGCAGGGCATTGTTGGGGGAATGGAATGCTTGATTGATTTTTGTGGAATGAACGGTGGTGACCAGAACTGGACCAGCTCGGCCAACGAGAACCCGCGAAAGCTACAGACCAACTGCGTCCAGCCAGGCAGGGGCGCTTTCTAGGGGTGGTCGAGCCAATGAGCGCCGTCGCGCGGAACGAGGAGCCAATTAGACGAAACAAAAGAAGCGGCAGATTTGAGGACGAGCGGCAACCGCACGCAGGTCCCCCATACACAGGTTTCCCGCGAGCCTGAATGGGACGCTTCCGCACGTACTGGTGCCACGCGAGAACGAACCACGTTCACAGGCTAGGGTGAAGCTGGAACTCCCAATCAGCGGTAAAGGAATCAACCGAGCTTCTCCATTCGGGCATCAAAACGTTTGCTGGACAAGCGAAATGGGGTGACAGAACCACCACACTGCACCCACCCAGCCTCGAGTGGTGTGTATCTTGCCTGCCCCGACATTGAACCAGTGCTGAGAATATTTGGGCTGAGCTGGCTGGACTTCCACGTGGCGTTTGTTCTTCCGTTGAAGCTGTGGTCGGGGAAGATACTTTTGGTCTGGCAGCGCGCGACTTTAAAAAATCAAGTACACGAGCGCCAATGACTTGGCGGCCTATGGTTTTGAACTAGAGCAAGTACAGTTGATTTTGAAAAAAACCTGGTTCGATTATGTGCCACATGTAGAAGCGCACGAACACGCGCGTTACAAAAGGGCAAAGATATAGCGCATATAATGCAAAGCTTACCATAACAACACCTCAAGTATTTCCTTTAAATGAAATCATACAGTTCTGTATGATCATATTATTATCAACAGATTCACAGCATGCCAGTGCACCCACTACTACGGATTTAACCAGCCCCACGTCTTCACAAACTGCCCCCTCAAAGCACATTTGTTACCATAATAGGAGACTACAGCAAAATGGCCACGAGGGTTGTTCATGAGCTTGTATGCTGGGGATAATGTGTAGCCAAAGCGAGTAAGGTATCGGCGCGTCCTAATTGCATGGTAGCTATAGGTCCGAACCTGGCGATTGATGGGGCCATTCAGGGTGTCATTCTTCCAGTTCATGACGAATGGCGGCACTCGCACCCCGTCAGCACCCTCTGGAGATGTGAAGCGTCTACCTATGTACACTCCGTACATCGGGATGTTGCCATTACTGAACATGTTGTTGGCCGTCACATAAGTCTTCACCACGTAACTTAATCCATCCCTGCAAAATAAATCCGTACAGTGAGATAACGTTTCAACCCCCACAAACGTGTCTGCGGATTGGAGTGAACTGAGAAGAAAACACGAGCTCACATGTAAACGGAGATGCCAACTCGTCCGAATCCGAGGTTTAAGTCGGTACCTCCGAAGACATTGACTCCTGAAAGAATGGCTGTCGCCCTCTCTGTTTACATCATCAAGCATCACAAAAAAAAGGAAATATGAGGCTTTGCGCATTCCATGAAGACTTTCTAGAAAAACAAGGGCGAAGGGATGTGCTAGAACGCGCGGGGATGAAGTACGGAACGCGCGGGGATGAAGTACGGAACGCGCGGGGATGAAGTACGGACCGCGCATACACATGTTTATTTGCATTTGTTTTTGTGTTTTGTCTTTCCTCGTGATAAGTTGCGATTAGAGCGACTTACTGTAGAGCACTTTCGAGGAAGCCACGGATGCGAGAGTGCCTGTAATCAGGGGGACAGTCCGAAACGAGAGTTAGGGAACGACCAAGTGATCAAGATTACGAAGGGGCATGCGTGTGGAGGTTGCGAGAGGAGTCGAGAATGAAAATGGTGGAGATATTTTTTGCGTCCAGTAACGCAAAACAGCCAGTTGCGCCAGAGGTGCTCACATAGAAGAAGAAAGACAAATATGACCCGATGCTTCTCCATCCTTTCGTGTCGCTGATTTCGAGCAGCAGCGAGGAGTAGTGGCTGATAATACTCTCTTCTCAGCTAAGGGCTTCACGTCAACACAACCTGGTCAGTAGAAGGGGGGCGGATTTACTTATGTCTTCTCAACGGATCAGGGAGTGCCATTGAGTCAGACATTGGGGGCTCGGGTTGGGACAGCACACGCATCTAGCCACTCGAAGTTGGCTGCATCTGCGTCCCCTGGCAGAGAACAGCGCCACTACAGTGTTCTAAAGTAGGCTTGCCGCAACTAGCGGCTCGTAGGCCCGCCGCGAAGCGATCCGTACCGTGAACATCTGAATGGCCGTAAAAATAGAAATAATAATCTGAAGTATGTACGGAGTGGAGACTCGTTCAGGTGGCTGTTGCGCTGAGGGGATCGAGAAATGTTAACAAAGTACACTTGAAGGCTTTCATTTGTAACTTTACCAGCCCAAACAAATGGTGGTGTGAAAGGGACCGCAACATTTGCAGTCGAGAGGGGGCCATGGCAGTTACATCACGATGTTGGTCGGTGGTCGAGGCGCGTCGTAACGGACGCTCGCGAACATCTTAGCGAAAACCGCCTCTACAATGTCTGCGACTGTTCGTGCACCTTGAAGAACCAC